CCTGCTGAAAAGCTATTGCAGATGCGATCATCTTTTACACGGAAATTCAACACGTATGTATTGCCAACACCCTCGGAAACGAGGAGCCCCGCATCTCCAGCACCAGGAAATACGGTTTCTCATCCGCTGAAGATGAATACAGATCCACGTATGTTCAGAAACATATGGTGCTCATCCCCATTGGAAGCCATGGCAAACCTTCATGGCTCGGAAAAGGTCTCTAGATCCGTAACCTCAAAAGGTCAGGTACTGAGAGAGAGTAACAAGAATACATCTTCTCGGTTGCCTCCTCCTTTGGCGGACGGACTATCTTACTCTCGTCACAGGCAACAACTTACTTCCGACACGAAAAGACTCAAGAGACAATCCTTCTCTGGTCCGATCACAAGCAAGCCACTCTCCTCACCCCCTCAACTCTACTCGGGTCCTATCGTTAGGAATCCAATCTCGAAGCCGCCATCGACTTCTCCGAAAATATCCTCCCCGACGTTTCTTTCATCTCCCAAGATAAGTGAGCTCCACGAGCTTCCTCGACCACCAGACAGGTCTATGTTCAGGTCCTCGAGGGCGTTAGGACATTCAGCCCCTCTGGTTCCACAGGACCGATTGCTTTCCACGGCTCGGAATAAACCCCTGGTCTCAAATTCAGCCTCTCCGCTTCCGCAACCACCTCCAATCACCCGTAGTTTCTCGATACCTACAAACAGTCTTAAAGTAGCAGCATTAGACATGTCGAAGGCGAGCACGACAGAGGATACTGAAAAGATAGGCGCAGTTGGAGGTACGGTGTCGCCTCCCCTAACCCCTGTTATGTCAGCGGTCCATCCGAAATCTGTCGCTCGGGATTTTGCAGATTTTAAGGTTGGTCGGAAACAAGGTAAGTGCGATACACTTTTACCTGACTCTTGCCTAGGGTTGTCCATTTCAGGTTTCGGTTCGGTTATATTAAGATTTGGTTATTTCAGTTTTAGAAGAACTATAACTATTCTGTTTTAATATTGAATTTGGTTCGATTCGAATCGGTTCTATTTTGGTTAGGTTTCGGTTGTTAATGATAAAACAGTCATTTGCCAATGGTCACTGTTTATTTGGTCCGGATTTTCTTCGTTTTTAGGGAAATCATAATCATCCAGTTTTAATATCGGATTTGGTTCGGTTATGCAGTTCGGTTTGTTAACCAAATGTTGGCCACCCCTATTCCTGCCTCCCTGTTCTTTCCTTTATAATCCATGTTCAAAGATCACATTCGACGTACGTTTTGTTGCGTCGTATAATTGAAACGTATCGAAATATTTGATGGATGCAGGTGAAGACTGATCGGTGTTTGAAGATGCCACTGTTACGGAAGTAGCTTACGTATTATTGCCGGAGCATTTCGCCATAGGTGCAGATATGTGTATGTATATATATTCTCTCTCTCTTTTTTCCTCTCTGATGTGTTAGCAGCGTATCATATCATATTTGGTCGACATGATGGCGAATAAAATACATGCCCCCGTGCATGCATGCGTTTGGGCATATATCATCAACCTTTTTGTTTTCATTTTCCCTTATCCGTTGATGGTAAAAAGTCTTGATTTTGCTTCTCCAATGGCGTTGAAATATTCTTTTCACTTTGGTTATTTTTGTTTTAGAAAAATTATATCCATTCTGTTTTTGTTTTAGATTCTGTCGAATTTGGTTTCAGATTTTGTTTATACAAATATTTATTTATTTGGTTATTTTTATATTTGATTTCAGAGAAATCATATGTATTTGGTTTTTTTTATAATGGATTCGGTTTCGATCGTTTTGGTTTTGCAAAACCGGAACAAAATGATCAGGTGAATATTGACCAATTTGAGCATGAAAGCCGAAATTGACACCGTCTTCAAATATCTGTGTATAATTTACATATATGTATGCATGCATCTGTCACGTGGGATGAATTATTCTATTACAGAGGATGATGTATATGTATACCCAATCAGAATAAAGTCTTGAGTGTGATCATAATAGAATTTCATCTCCAACATATGTTTTGGCATATGTTACACAAGAGTTAGGCGGTTCAAAACAACACAAGCAGAAAACGATTTTTAGTGAAACTCTTTCC